GACGAGACCTGCCAAACCCCAACATCTTTTTCGTTCCAACAGTGAAGTCTGGTGTTAGCTGGGCAAGGAGAGATGGGGTCGGATTTGTGCTGAGAACGAGCACTCAGGGTCTGGCAGCACAGCGCCACTGGCAAGCCGCCTTTTGCGATGCTGGCATCCTGTATTACAGCACTACCAGGCTGCCCTGCTTCCGGCCCAGCTACCTGCCAAAGCACTTGCTGGGAAGGCAGTGAGTGACAGCCCAGAGGCCTGGGCTCCTGCCACCTGTGTTGGAGCCTAGGCTGCAGTTCTGGTCATCTAGCCTTGGCTTAGCTCATCTCCGGCTGTTGTGACCATTTGGGGAGTGAGCCAAAGGATGGGAAACTAGCTCTTCTTCTTTGTCTGTCACTCTGCCTTTAAATAAGCACAATAATAGATTCTTTTAAAAATAAATCCTTTGTTAAAAAAAAGAGCATACATTCACGGCTGACGTCACAGTGCATCAGGTCAGCTCGCACGCTCTGACGCCAGCACTCCACGCAGGAGTACGATTTCTACCCTGCTTCCTACTGATCTCCCTAGAAACACAGCAGAAAATACCCCACGTGACTGGTCCCCTGCCACCTGAGTGGGAAGCCTTCTTGAGGCCATTTGGAAAGTGAGCAAGCAAATGGAAATTCTCTCTCCTTCTGTTACTCTATTTTACAAATCAATAACTCTAAAAAACAATGTTCAAGTAAAGAGTGGAGTCTTAGCTTAGTGAAACTTTGGGGAAATCACTGGTCCTCTCAGAACAATCAAAAGCCCGCAGGCCATGCAGCTCGCACCAGGACTGCCGAGCTCTGGCAAGGCAATGCGGAAGAAGCCATGGACAATACGCACACTGGGTCCCAGCAAAACCTCATAGATTGGAAACAGGAGGCTGGCCAGATTAGGTTCACGGCAAACAAGACGACAGTGACCTCTTCCATCAGGGGTAGCTCTAAGAATGCAATTGATTCCTCCTCGGCACACAAGCGGACAACAGCTAGGAGCTGCTATGAGGAGGGGGAGGATGGTGACAAGGAAAATGATGATTTCTAAATGTATTCCAATCTAGTCTATTATAGGTATGTAGATATAGTTTAGACCTTTTAAAGCTTCATGGAAATGAAATTAAAAGGTAAGTTTATTTTAGTGAGAACAATTGGAGGGGTGGGCATTGGACACAGTGAAATCACTGCTCACATCCCATATCAAGAGTGCCTGGTTCGAGTCCCGGCTCCGCCACTTCTGGGAGCCGGTGCACAGCCTGGGAGGCAGCAGCTCAAGGCGTGGGTCCCTGCGCCTGTGTGGGCAGTCCAGGCGGAGGGCTGAGCTCCTGCTGGATACAGCCCAGCCCCAGCTGCTGCGGGTACCCAGGCATGCACCTGTAGAGGGGAGATCTGTGTTTTTCTACACCTCAAATGAAATGAAAGTAAAATCAAAAATTGTAAAACTCCTGTGGAAATCTACTCAGGTTTTTTTTCATAATACACACTTTCCATAAGATTTTTGAAGATTGCTATATAAATGGATTTTTTTAAAATATGCTACTTGCGATCTGACAGCTGCTTATTTTCAACATTTAAAAAAATTTATTTAAAAGGCAGAGAAGGGCCCGGCGCGGTGGCGCAAGTGGTTAAGTCCTCGCCTTGCACGCCCGGGATCCCATATGGGCGCCGGTTCTAATCCCGGCGGCCCCGCTTCCCTTCCAGCTCCCTGCCTGTGGCCTGGGAAAGCAGTCGAGGACGGCCCAAAGCTTTGGGACCCTGCACCCGCGTGGGAGACCCGGAAGAGGCTCCTGGCTTCGGATCGGCATAGTATCGACCGTTGCGCTCACTTGGGGAGTGAATCATCGGATGGAAGATCTTCCTCTCTGTCTCTCCTCTCTGTATATCCGCCTTTCCAATGAAAAAATAATAAAAATAAATCTTTAAAAAAAAAAAAAAAAAAAAAAAGGCAGAGAAAATAGAGACCTTCCATCCACTGGTTCACTCGCCAAATATCTGCAATAGCTGGATTAGACCCAAACTCAGCTTGTCTTTCCCACGTGGGTGGCAAAGATGAAGCTAATTCAAGGGCCGGTGTGATGGCTCAATGGGCTGCTACCCTGCCTGCAAGGGCTGATATCCCATATGGACACCAGTTTGTGTCCCAATTGCTCTACTTCCCATCCAGCTCCCTACTTGTGACCTGGAAAGGCCCTGGGACCCTGCACCCACATGGGAGACCCAGAATCTCTCCTGGTTGCTGGTTTCAGATCAGCTCAGCTCTGGCTATTGCAGCCATTTGGGGAGTGAACTATCAGATAGAAGATCTGTCTATTTGTCTCTCCTTCTCTCTGTGAAACTGCCTTCCCAATTTAAAAAATAAATATATCTTAAAAATAAATAAATAAAAACAAGCAAACAAACAAACAGAAAAGCAGCAGCAGAAGGCCACTGAGCTAGCCGAGCCCCACCGCCGTCTTCCGTGTGTATTAGCAGGTCTCCGGGATGCAGTAAGAGGTGCCGGGAAGCTCAGGCACTCTGACGTGGGCTGTGGGCCTCCCCAACAGCAACCACGGCCTACGCCAATGCCCCTGTCCACCCCCCACTGCAGTTTATCCGCACCAAACAAAACCTGCGTTTCAATTCCTTTTCCCACAAACTTCTGGAAGTATCCTCACACAGTATTTTCGCATGTCCGTGGGGCAAGCCAGGGCCTGGCTCTCTCCATGTTCCTTTGCTCCATGCATGGACTGTGCTGGGATGCAACTGGAGACTTCTCACCTGCCAGGAAGCAGACAGCGCTGTGGTTCCTGGATGTCACTGTGCAGAGAGGCAGACAAGGCTTGGTTGGGGCTTTCAGTGGACACGGGGGACAAAGTGTGTGAATTTTAAGGGTGTGTGGATGAGTGTGAAAATCTGGTTTGATATCTCCCCAGGTTTAAAGTACACCCACAAACACCTATTGCTGAGCCATGACGCTGGTGGCTCGAGGGCGTGGGAAAGGACTGGGTCTGAAGGGACAGGGGCCTGATGGGCCCGAGGTTTCTCTGGCACCAGAGCTGTGTCACTTTTCCCTGGGGAGGAAGGAAGATCTCTACCTCCCAGAAAGAAGATGTTCAAAGATCAATAAGGTGATGCAAAGGCAGGATTCTGTTCTGCTTTGCTCCCTAAAAGGGGCTGCTAGGTTGTTTGCTGCTTTGAGTTCATTTTCTGGGAGTAGTTGATCATCACGGGAGGGCCGGGAGGAAGCAGTGTTCACATGACCCTTTACAGTGGGGATGGCCCTGTGGCACAGCTGGCTCAGCCACAGCCTGCAGCACCGGCATCCTGTATGGGTGTCCGCTGAGTTCTGGCTACTCTGATTCCAATCCAGCTGCTTATTAAAAGCAGCAGGAGATGGCCCAAGTGCTTGGCCCCTGTACCCACGCGGGAGACCAACAGAGGCTCCTGGCTCCTGGCCTCGGACTGGCTCACCCCCGGCCTTTGTAGCTATTTAGGGAGTGAGTCAGAGAATGAAAGATTCTTTCTCACTCTCTAATCCTGCCTTTCAAATAAATATATGAATCTTAACACACACACACACCCTTCCCAGGAAGGAGCACCCTCCCTAAGAGCTGTGACTCCTCACCACATGGACAGAAGGATGACCAGAGTGTGGGTTCTGTGGTCACCGCCCACAGCCCTCGGGGGAAGCAGCACCCCTTGGAGGAAATGCTGATGGGTTGTTACACATGGTCAGGCCTGGGGTGGGACCTGCCATTCATTTTTCTAGCAGCACCAAATGCCAGCTCAGAGGCTGGCACACAGCCAATGGAGCCCAGTGACCTGAACCCAAACACAAGGTAATTCCAAAAGCTCACGGAATGAAAAGTGTAGGTGCAAGCATTGAGGCTCAGTGGGGCAAGCTGCTGCCTGTGACACTCGCAACCCATACTGGAGCGCTAGCTTCTCTGCTTCCAGTCCAGCTCCCTGCTAATACTCCCGGGAAAGCAGCGGGAGATGGCCCGAGTGCTTTGGGTCCCTGAGACCTAGATGGACTTGCAGGCTCCTGGCCCTGACCTGGCCCAGCCCCAGCTATTGTAGCTACTTGGAGAGTGAACGAGCAGATGGAAGATGTATCTCTCTGCCTTCCCTCTCTGGCACTCTGCCGTTTGAATAAATGAAATAATCTTAAGTATATAGATATAGATACACAGATTCCACTTCTGATTTCAGCCTCCTGCCAATGACGACCTTGGAGGCAGCAGAGACGGCTCAAGCAGTTGCACCCCTGCCCACCGCGTGGGAGACCTGGGTTGAGTTCTGGGCTGTTGGGGACATTTGAGAAGTGAGCTGGCAGGCGTGAACGTCTTGCTTATCAACCCATCCCTATGTCTCTGACTATCCAAATAAAATGTATATTCTAGCAGAAAAACATTTTTTTTAAATCCACTCATTGCTTTTTCATAACATGCATTATCCATAAACCCTGCGAAGCTCCTACAACGTCCCGGGCCCTGAGCACAGACTTTGTGGCATTTAGTAGTAAAGGCCACTCATTGTAACCCACACAGAATGCATTCCAGGTCCCTGCTGCTCACATCTCACCCTGTGGGGATGCTCGGACACCCCAGTCTATCGCTGTACTCAGCTGACATGACGCCAGGAAAAGAAACCCAAAGGCCAAACTTACCTGTTAACATGCTGGGATAAAATGGATATGAAAAGAAAGAAACCTGCAAATACTCATGTATTGGTTATATCCAGCAGAAGACTCTTAGGGAAGGTGTAACATGTGGGGCTTCCTGTCTGGCTGCCCTTGCACTGGGGCCATGATTTTGGCCTAGTAGAGCAGGAATGATGCTTCGGGCCAGGCATGGGCAGGTTCTGCTGCATTTATACAAGTCTTCTGTGCATTTCAAATGGCTCTGGGACTCAGCAGACTCTCCCAGTTCTTGAAAAGAGGAGACGGGAAGACATTTGCATCCTGAAGAACAGCAGCACGGCCATCCTGGCAGCGCTTGGATGCCCCTACACCTGCTTCTCTCCCTGGGTGCTCTGCCTTTGTTTCTGCTTATGCAGCTGCCGCAGGAACTGGAACTTGTTGGCGAAGAACATCTGCCTCCAGCCCACTTTGTCCGCCAGTGACTTCATGTCGGGGGTGATGGTGCCGCAGGCTGACTTGACCATCCGCTCCCACAGCTGGTCAGACGCGCACAGCTGCAGAGAGGAAAAGCCAGAGGTGGGGCTGAGGACAGGTCACCGACTCACCCCCAACAGAGTCCTGCTGGGAGACGCTGTATGATAAACACCACGTGTGCAGGCTGCTGTGCCACACACGGCTCTCTCCCCCAGGAAAGGAGGCCGGTGCACACCCGTCTGCAGAACACACACAGGGAAGCACCCATTAATGACGAGGATGGACTGTGAGACAATGCAGAAGGGGATGGCTCCACTGCAGTGTGAAGACTGCAGCATATGCCTGCCCAAACCAAGATGGCTACAGGGTCCCTGAGTGATAAAGTTCCACAGGACCATCAAGTTGTACTACAGAGATAGAGTTGATAAAGATAGCAATTAAGGGCCTGGTGTGGTAACCTAGTGGCTAAAGTCCTCACCTTGCAGGTGCCAGGATCCCATAAGGGTGCCAGTTCTAACACCAGCAGTCCCGCTTCCCATCCTGCTTGTGGCCCTGCTTGTGGCCTGGGAAAGCAGTCGAGGATGGCCCAAATCCTTGGGACCCTGCACCCGTGTGGAAGACCTGGAAGAAGCTCCAGGCTCTTGGCTTCGAATTGGCTTAGCTCTAGCTGTTGTGACTGTTTGTGGAGTGAATCAATGGGACGAAAGATCTTCCTCTCTGTCTCTCCTCCTCTCTGTATATCTGACTTTCCAATAAAAAAAAAAAACCTAAATAAAATAAAGATATAGCAACAGAGATATAACCATCATTGGCCAAAACATTGTTACTGAGGGCACGTCTATTTGGCCAATGGAACAAGTCCCAGGCTCATTTGAAACATGAGCTAGCTGTGGCTGGTGAGTGCTGTCAGTGTCTAAGTACTCCCGAGCAGAGGCCCACAAGGCTATTTGGCGACACACAGTAACCACCCTCGGTAATACAGAAGTGCACTCCCAGCAGCCTTCGCAAGGCTGTCCATGATGGGCGCTTCAAGGCCGCGTTCTTCCTTTGCATTGGTGGAGGAAGGATCCTGTCAAACTTGACTCTCCCTGGCAGAGCTCCCAATCCTTAGCTGTAACATGAAAAACCCCAGTCGAGGAAGGCTAACCAGCAATCCACGGTGCCGTCGCACGCTGGCCTCAACTCCTTTCTGCTTGCGGCCCTGCCTCCCCGGCTCCCTTTATGGGAACTCAAAGTTGCCCTGGAACTGAGTTCCCTTACAAGAACACCAAGAGGCAAGAAGCTCATGAGGCTGTGACAGATCAATAACGGGGGAAAGTAAGAGTATTGCTGGCAATGAATCATGCAGGTCACCTACTTGGGAATAGTAGAGACAGCTGGTCTTATGACTGACACAATGAAATTTAAAATTCTTCCTTAATAGAGAACTCTACCGCTTAACTGGGAGAAGTAGAAATGCATGGGAAAATATCTCAGATTCTGCAAAATGAAATCTAAACGTGCTCTATTAAAGAGAAGTTCAGGCTTCCAACCTGAACCTCTCAGAACGTAACACTGGAGGCTGGCATTGCAGCACAGTGGATTCACTGCTGCCTGTGGTGCCAGTACCCCATATGAGTGCTGGTTCAAGTCCTGGCTGCTCCACTTCCTATGTAGATCCCTGCGAATGCTCCTGTGAAGAACAGTGGAGGACGGGCCAAGCTTTCCTTGCACCCAAGTGGGAGACCAGGGAAAACTCCTGATTTTGGCCATTTGGGGAGTGAACCAGCAGATGGAAGATCTCTGTCTTTGCCTCTCTCTTTCTCTCTCTCTCTCTCCATTCCTCTCAATTTAAAACATTATAGAGGCAAGTGAAGTGGTGCAGTGGGTTAAGCCCTATTTGGGTGCCTGCATCCCACCTCAGAGTGCTGGTTTGAATCCTAGCTGCTCCACTTCTGATCTAGCTCCCTACTAAGGTGCCTGGGAAGGCAACAGACAATGACTCAAGTACTTGGCTTTTTGCTGTCCACGTGGGAGACCTGGAAGGAGTTCTACGCTCCTGACAGTTGCAGACATTTGGGAAATAAACCAACGAATAGAAGGTCTCTCCCTCTGCCTTTCAAATACATAAATTAACAAATAACAAGGCATCAAGGTGCTAGATGCTCTGATATGCGGCCACAGCCTGAGACCTTCCCTTCTGTGCTTATGGTCAGAGGTGGTCTTGATGTGCCTGGGCGCTGCGTCCCCTGGGCCATTCCTTCCTTCCACGGCCCTGCAGGGATGTCCACCCGGAAGGTTCCCTCTGAGGCATCAGGTGCAGAGAGCGGGAGTGTGGAGCTTTCACCTTTCCAACCCCTGCTGCACAGAGGCAGGCTTGGTCCGGCCTAGGAGTGCAGGTGGACGATCAGCAAAGCGCGGGCAACAGCCTCCGCAGTCTGAGTTTCTGAAGCGTCTCACCACACACACCCTTCTCCCCACACTTCACTTCCAAGTCACAGCAGCAGCACACCAAACACACAAGACACTGCACACACAGTGGCTCACCCGCACGAAGGGCAAACCTGCACACGGCCGACCTCGCCGCCACCTCATCCTTGCCAGTCCGTTGGCCATGCTAGCCTCCAGGTATCACATCTACCCAATCCCAATGCACCCTTCAAAAACAAGACTTATTTGCTTGAGAGTCAGAGTTATAGAGAGATGGAGAGACAGAAAGATCCTTCATCTGCTGGTTCACTCTAAAATGCCAACAAAAACCAGGGCTAGCCTAGGCTCAAGCCAGGGGACTGGAACTCTATTTTGATCTTCCACAAGAGTGAGATGGGTTCAAGGTCATCTTCCACTGCTTTCCCAGGCACACTAGCAGGGAGCTGGATCAGAAAGGGAGCAGCAGGACATGAATCAGTGCTCACACAGGATACTGGCATGGCAGGTGGTGGCTTAGCCTGCTGTGCCACAATGCTGGTGCCAAATTAAAAATGTTTTCAAGAGTGGAAGTAGTTTTGAATGGGACATCATGACAAAAAAAGCACGTAATCAATTCACATAGGGTTGAGCGGCAAGGAGGGCACAGCCGTGTCCACGCTGGGTGCTGAATATGGGCACTAGAGCTTGCTTCCTCTTCCACAAGAGCGAGCTCCATAACTGACTGGCACCACGTTCCCAATGGGTGCCCAGAGCATGGCACTGCGTTCCTGATGGGTGCCCGGAGCATGGCACCGCGGTCCCGATGGGTGCCCGGAGCATGGCACTGTGGTCCCGATGGGTGCCTGGAGCACGGCACCTAGCTAAGGCCTTGGGATTGCTCTTTCCTGTTGACAGTGGCCACACTGCTTTTTCTAACAGGAGGTTCATGTTGTTGAGTCCCAGCAAAACCGTCATTGTTGCCACCATGGCCCTTGTTTCTGAGCTCACTCAGTGAATTGACGGGGTGAGAGTGAGTGTTTGGCTTAGCAGTCAGACACTCCCTGGGACACCAGCATCCCCTGTCTACGCACCCGGTGGCTCCACTTCTGATCCAGTTCTCTGCTAAGGCACCAGGGAAGCAGCAGATCATGGTCCAGGTGCCTGAGTCTCTGCTGTCTGCCTGGAGACCTACTTGTAGCTCCTGGCTCCTGGATTCAGCTTAGCCCAACGTGCGCTGTGGAGGCATTTGGGGAGTGAACAGATGGAATCTGACTCTCTCACCCTCACTTTTTGTTCTATTGCTCTGCTCTCAAATAAGTAAGAAATTTAAAAAATTTTAAAGTTTGTGTTTGGGCCCAGTGCAATAGCCTAGTGGCTACAGTCCTTTCCTTGCAAGCACCAGGATCCCATATGGGCACCAGTTCTAATCAGGTGGACCTACTTCTTCCCATCCAGCTCCCTGCTTGTGGCCTGGGAAAGCAGTTGAGGACAGCCCAAAGCCTTGGGACTTTGTACCCACGTGGGAGACCTGGAAGAGGTTCCGGTCTCCTGGCTTCAGATCAGCGCAGCTCTGGCCATTGTGGCTGCTTTGGGAGTGAATCAGTGAACGGAAGATCTTCCTCTCTGTCTCTTCTCCTCTCCATATGTCTAATTTTCCATTATATAGTAAAAAAAGAGCATTAAATTTTTTTTTATTGGAAAGGCAGGTTTACAAATAGATGTAGAGACAAACAAAAAGAAATCTTCTATCTACCGGTTTAATCCCCAAAAGGCCATGACAGCCAGAACTGAGCCAGTCCAGAAGCCAGGAATCAGGAGCTTGCTCTGGATCTCCCATGAGAGTGCAGAATCCCAAGGCTTTGGGCCGACTCCACCACATTCCCCAGGCCATAAGCAGGGAGCCAGTCCAGAAGTAGAGCAGCTGGGACATGACCTGCTGCCCATGTGGAATGCCAGCACTGGGAGGCAGAAGATTAGCCTGCATTGCCACTGCACCAGCCCTGAAAAGTTTATTTAAATTAAACAAACAAAAACGCTGTGGGATCAGACTATGAGACTCAGTCATGGGCTGCACTGCCCGTGATCTCTGTGCTTCATCTGGGCCTGTGTCCTTGTCCAGACTCAGGGCAAGGCAGCTTAGCCCCAACTCCTGGGCTGTAATGAGGAGGAACTGGGTTATCCACAAATGCACACGCAGCACTCACTAGTCACTCAGTAAACAGGTAGCTATGACAACACAGAAATGACAGCATATAGTGCTGTAAGAATTGGGGATAAAACAGGCAAAATATCCCTGGAGCATTAATGAGCAGGAAAGAGAAATAGAACAGTCAGTTCCTTTATCCATTTCTCAGAAGACTCTAGAAAGAAAGGCCACACTGGCATTTAGCTACTGAGCAGAACACTCAGGTGCCATAATGCGCATCTGGGGAGGCCAAGAGAGACCTTCCACACACAGGGACCCAACAGAGATCCAGCAGGATACAGGGCCATCAAACCACACGTGCACCGACTCCAAAAAGCCACGGAACAACAGGAAGAGCATAATTGAATCTCAATTTTTTGTTTGCATCAAAATATTTTTTAGAGCCCGGCATGGTAGCCTAGAGGCTAAAGTTCTTGCCTTGCACGCCCAGGATCCCATGTGGTCACTGCTTCATGTCCCAGCTGCAATACTTCCCATCCAGCTCCC